TTTATACTTATGTCATTCTCACTCTTCATTCTTAATCTATGTTTATTATATATATATAAAAAGGGTATTTCATTAAGACGGATCAAAGTCAGCAGTAAATAAATCAGTGTTATTGGTGAAAATTTATTTATTTCTCTATTGGATCATGTTATTTAAGTCATGGCAATTATGTATGAAAAATAATATCACCCAAATGTTCACCAAGGCTTTGGCAGAACACCTCCACTTGATTTTTGATGTCTCTGCATAGTTGCTCCTCGATCTCACCAATATGCCTTATTATCTCATCCTTCAGCTGTTGAATTGTTGTTGGCATAGACCTTACTTTTGAGATGACCCCAAAGGAAGAAATCTAAAGGGGTCCTGTTGCACGATCATGGTGGCCAACTGACTTCGCTGTTTCACTTCTTATTCAAATTCTGTTTGAGCATCCATTTTCGTAATAGGCTTCAATAACTTTAACATGTTGTTTGATTGTTAATCTTTCCATGTTTGAAATTGCCAAAGGCTTAAGATGTTAAATGTGAAAGAAAAGAAAAAAAATCCTTAGACACTTAAACTTAATTCACATTTAAAATTGGCCCAAGTTATTAGAATGTCCTTATATATATAAAATGTATTGTGACAAACCTGTCAGTACAAATGCAAAAAAGGCTCCAAGTTGTGTGTGGACATATTTGTTGAAGGTAGTCCCATCTGGGTTTTCCCTGTTAGACACAGAACAGCTTGGCATGTCCAGATATAGGCCTCTCTGCAACTTGTCCAGTCAACTGGTAAATCAGCAGTGGATAGTTGGCAAGGCACACTTTGCTGTTGTCAGATATTTGGTGTCTTGTGAGGACATTCACCTGGTACATTTGTTCCTGGAGTTGAGTGCTGTGGTTTCTGAAGCAGTGGCCTCACTAGTCATTAATCAACTTTATTTTATTTCCTCCAGTCTCTTTTCCTGTAATTTTTAAGAGAACAATCAGTTAAGTGTTTCTCCCCAACTTCAACACATCCTTGCCTTATTTTAGAACATGTTCTTACCTTCATATTTGTGTGTAAGTAACAGAATAAAACTTATAATTTATTAAAATTGTCCCAAACTATTTTTGTCTTTAACCATCTTATGTATTTTTAAGTTCAAATGTTTTAATTTTGCTATAAGCACTAACTTATATAATAATAGTAACTATATTGCCTTTTTTTAAGGATTTCTTTTTCAATAAATAGCATTTGTCTTTCTTTGTCATATGCTACTAGCTCATTTCCATTGCTAATTTAGTTGCTGTTGAATTTTATTAGACTTTAAAAATACTATAGAGAAGGTGTACTTTATAGTAAGTTTTGAATTCTATGACTCAATAAAAATGAAAGTCACCAGGAATCTGAAAGAGTTTTGCAATGTATTATTTTTCAATTTTATTTTTTTTACTTATAGTTGTAATTTTTCTGACATTATAAAAAGTTTTGAAAAGTTCTCACTACATGAAGCCTTAAACCTTAATAATAAGTATTTAAAAATCAATTGTGGTTAGCAAATGGGGATTTATTTAAATGACCTTTTTAATGTTCAGCTGAAGCAAATATTTGTATAGAGATAATTTTTTTTTTTTCACCTTATGTACTTATTTTATGTCTTGGCAAATAATGGGAGAATTGACATACTCTGACTTTCACTTAGAATGAAACAAAGTAGTTTCTTAATTTTTATACCAGTTCTTTTACCAGGTATTATATATGCCAGAAAAAAAAACAAAAAAAAAACAACTAATGTTTGTATGGTTTTGCAATCAGATAAACTAGTAACAAATATCCCCAAGGTTATAGCCTAATACTTCATAGTTTGTAAAGCTTCAAACTAAATATGTGAACTTTTTCTCATGCTATAAATATTGAATGCAGATAGTAACAATGGATTGGTTTCATATTAGGACATAAATCCTCTACTAATTTTGGCATGTGCAAAGAGAAAAAGTATTTTCATATTGATGAGTCAGTGATAGAGTTTGAAACCATTTATTGCAAAAAAGTAGACACAAAGAAATATATATATATATATATATATATATATATATATATATACACACACTAATGATTTTATTATGTTTTACTTTGAATCTGTTCCACTATCTCTGCTGAGCTTCCAAGGCAACTGGATAGCAGCCAGTACTGAGAATTGATACTCTTACTATTATTGCATCAATCGTTTTGCTTTTTAAACACAGCAGTGCGCAAATTGCACTCTGCTACAAAAATGTTGCATTGAATATGTACATGTTATTTAGATTTGCTTATTGTCTGGCTAACTGATTGCTTTTTTTTTTATATTAAGTTGTTACTTCTTTCTTAGATAATTTTAAGCAGATTTTTGTTTACTTTTTCACAGCTTTTATTATTTTTCATCATTTAAGTAATAAATATTCCAACTAACTGAATAAAGAAAAACAAAAAAAGTTAGGAGTTAGCCTTCTTTATTTTATTCACTTTTTTTTTTTTTTTTTTTTTTAATTGATTAGAAACATGTAAAAGTTTTGACATAAAACCATTCTTAATTTGATATAAATGGTTTCACTTGGTCTCCTTAGCAAAGTTTCAGAGATTTCATGTTCAGGAAAGAGTAGCAAAGCATTGTGTTTTAGTAATAAGATGATCATCAATGGTTGTGATAAAACTAATATAGAAAAATTATAAAGATGGAAATGCAACAGAAACAAAAATTGCCCATATTCTTGGTAGTTTAGCTCAGCATCTACTTTCATGTCTTTGTTAGAAATTAAAGTGGAGATATTTTAAATTTTTAATCTACTTAATTAAAAAAGAAACCAGGTTTTGAGTTTAAATGATTTAAGCCCACTCACTAGTTTGCTTTATTCATTATTAATAAGTATGCAGCTTGTAAAGCATTTTGTCAAATGATGTTGCCACATAATTTTATTTCATTGTTTTTAATATAAAATCAATAATCTATGTAAAAATTCATGTTTTAAAACGGCTTTATTTCAGTAAATTTATAGAAAATAATTCCAGTTTTATTTTTGATTAGGCAATAAATGATCCACACATGTCACCTTTATTTTTAAAAAAAAATTCTAATTCTGTGTTAATCAAACTTATTTTGAATACTTAAGATCATTGTCTTACATCAGAAATACCTTCCATCTTACTAAAACACAATACCAGTATTACAAATTGTTTAACTGTTATAGAGAAAAAAAAAACACACGACTATTTATCACTCTTGGAATTTGACCCATTCCAGATAAGAATGTATAAGAACCAAAGATGCAAAAGCTTATTCTTACTTTTACCAGCTACTGAGCGGGAAATGAATTGGCCAGATATTTCTTTTTTTATCTTATACAATACTTATCTTCATCTCAGCATTTGCATCTCTAGCCACTGATAGGATCTTTTCTTTCTACTGTAACCTTGAGTACACTTAAGAATCATTCAAGCTTCCATTAGATTTTCAATTGGGAAATCCCAAATCCATATATTGTTCTTGTGTAATTTTGTCAATTCAACTTTACTAATCAAGACTTTCAGTCTGTCATGAAATAAAAAAGTTTTTTTTTTCTGTAAACAGTAAGCAATTTTCCTTGGAAACATGAGATATGTATCTGTATAGTCTTTAAGGGAGATGAAAGAAAAATTAAAAAGTTCTCTTGCTTGCTATATATGCACAAAAGCATAATCTTTACACTGTTCAAGTGTTTAGGCCTGTAACTTAAGCGTGGCTTTTTGTAATGAAAAAAATAGTTACCTGCCTAGTTATTAGCTAAGCAAGAAAATATCTTTTCCATTTTATTTAGAAGAAACAGATTTGGTCAATATGAAAATATTTTTTTTTTTTTTTTATTTTCAAAAAATTTATATATATATATATATATATATATATATATATATATAAAACATTAATCATTAATTTTTTTTAATTAATAAAATCATGTATCAGTGCTCTGATATTGACCACTTTATTGCAAAGACTGTCTTTTCTTTCAGACTTCCACCATCTTTGTTTATATATATATACACACACCCAACATAATAAAACTGCTCATTTGCAATAGACATTACTGCTAATGAAATCATTTATCTTAACATGATAGTAATTGATTTATTTTTTGTCACCGATTATATAATTTTCATCAGTATGTTCCCAGAAAATTTATCTTGATTTTCTACATAGTTTATCCACATCAGTTACAACTGTATAATTTTTATAAAAATTTATACTAAAATTTCAATTGTAGCATATTTTTTTAATTATCAAGTAGTTTTAAAATTTATTCTTAGAGGGAGTCTAAATTGGTTAGATTATAATGAATGCTGATATTTGTAAACAAAAAAGTTAAAATATCCTCTTAAATTAAAAATGACATTCCTTCTGTATGGCCTTTTAAAAATATGAATTTTTCTCCACCCACATAGTCATAAATTAAATTTAATTTAATGAAATGGTTAATCATGGTACCATTGATAATAAAATTAATTTGACAATGTACCAATGTAATATATTTTTAGAAATAATATCAGCTGATAAAATACTTAAAGTCTTAGGCCAGTTATTATATTAAAGTAACAAGAGTATTGAAATACAAGTGAAACATCTTCAATTTTGGGGGTTTTTTTTATTATTAAAGTCTTGCTTTATTCAACTTAGTTGAATTTTTCAGTGCTGCGTTATGGTCAAAGTGTCTTGCATAAGAACTGCATCACAAAGGTTTAATGAACATTAAGAATTGCCAGCCATTATTACTGTGAAGTTTCCCCTATATTATTCACCACCATGCATGATTAATGGAAGTTGGGAAAAAAAAACTGTGTTAAACCATTATTAATGACGAGTGAAAAGATACAAGGTGCTGTCAAAATTTGATTACCCTTGATGTTTGTAAATGTAAAGAATTATTGAGTAGATCAGATATTTTCTTTTCTTTTGTTTTTTTCAGTTTAATTTTTTTTTTTTTTTCTTGTGTATTTTTCATATCTTTCCTGTTTCTTTTGTATTTCAGACAGGGACCTGTGCTCTTTTCTTTGCTGCCCAGGGTGGCTTTTTGGACATTGTCAGAGTTTTGCTAGAGAGTGGGGCCCCTGTGGACCTGGCCAGTTTTGTAAGTACCTTCATCCTGATGCAATTTTTTAAAAAATCTCTGCAGTCAGTTTGTTTGTTTAAAATTAGTTTTTACAAACTGATTACAACATTGAGTTTACTTGTGTTAATTCATTTTGTAAAAGTACCATGCAAAACTTCATTGTGTGGCTACTAGTTGTGATGCTGTTTCACTATAACTAAAACAGTTTGAATAGTTTGATTAGTGAGAATAGAAAAAAGCTGTCAAGAAACTTCATCTGTTACTTTACTTTTTGCTCATCAGGTACCCCACCCCTATTGTTGCATGCAGCTTTAATGTCTGGAGTAAAAATAAATATATGTTTAATATAGGTATCTCCACTAATTTACTAAAAAAAGAGCATACTGTGAGGAAAAAAGGCCCCAATCTTGATGAAAAGAATTTTTTATTGTCTAAATGTTTGTTATTATTAAGAGCAAAGACCAAAGTAATTTTTGATTATTTTTTTAATCCTTCCTAGCATGTTCAAAATTTTTGTTAAAATCTTGATTTTTTTAAAAAATTAATAATTAAAAATAATGCCATAAAATTTCATAAGTACCTAATAATTATAGATAACATTTCATAAAAATGAGAAGGGTATTTTTTTTTTTTTTTTTTAAATATGTTAATTTTTAATTTTCCTTATTTTTTATAGTAATTGTTTTGTTTCCATCCCTTGAAACTAAAGAAAAATAAATGCAGTATGTCCCTCACTGAAAAACAAATTAATTATATTTAAAAATTTAAATTACAATATTTAGTGAAATAGGATGTAGAAAAAGAAAATTAAATATTTTGAAAATGTGATGATGATAATCAGTCAGAGAATTTAACACGTGCTTGCCAAAAGGAAAACAAGATATTTTCCTAATCTTGGTCTGGTCCTTGCTGTCAGGGGAATAACTCTTAAAACACGTGACTATTATGGTTAAAATGTTCATCCATGTACATTTGAAGAAAACATCTTTAATACATTTATTTGCATATTAAAAAAATATTTTTTTAAATATTTTATGCTTGCTTTCAAATTTATGATCTGTAAAAATAGATCTACTTAATAAAAGCATTTTCTAAAATACACAAATTGAGACTTAATTTTAAAATATTTAACAACTTTATCACATCTTTTATTTAAAATTAAAAAAGAAAAAGTAAATTCTTGTAAAAATTCATTTTTCATCAGGAAAATATTTTGGCTTCAGACAATAGTGTCCTTAACATATATTATTATTCATAAAAGCCATTAAAAGTTTTTTTTAATTAAATATTGAAATGTATTTTACGTTTCAGAGCTGAATTTTGGGTAGTGTGCACATTCGATTTTTCAAAAAAGAATCGAGTCTTCTGCTTTTAAGTAATATAATCACTAAATTACACAAAGTCAAGTAAGAGGGATGTTAACAGATTTAAAAAAAAAAAAAAATTTTTTTACCACCACTTACTTCAAATAAAACATGTCTAAAATAGCTTCATTCATTTGTGAATAAGTTCTGAAAGTTTCATTAAAATCTGACAATTATTTGATTTTTGTAAGAATTTTCAAATTAATGTGTTTTTCACCTGCAAAAAGGCACTAAAAAACTAATAGTAAATATTAGATGACCGCTAATATAAAAAAAAACAAACAAAAAAAGATTTTTAACCAAAATTTCAAACATGCTAGAAAGGATTAAAAAAATAATTAAAAGAAAATCCTTTGGGTTTTCCTCTTAATAATATTGTCAAAATGTTTATTAAGTTCAGGGCTTTTTTTCATCATGCTATCCTGTTTTGTTTTTTTTTTTTGTTTTTTTGCGAATTATTGAAGAAACCTAGTTTAATATCTTGCATAGTAATAATTATGGATTTTTATCAAGCTAAGAGTACCTATGAAAATTTCACTGAACATGTGAGTAATGACAAAATTTAGAGAAAAAGGAAACTAATACTTAACATTAGGAAGAGACAGTTGAGGTTTCTAGGGCATATAATGAGGAAAGAGGGCTTGGAAAACCTGATACTCACAGGACAGATTGAAGGCAAGAGGGACAAGAAAACAATGCAAAACATACTTAGTGAGCTTGACTAAATGGATGACAGAACAGGGTTTGGGAGAAATAACAAAAAAAAATTTATTAAGAGCTACAAAGGACAGGAAATGTGAAGAGCCATGATCACCTACATACTGTGGGAACACAGCTTGTGAAGAAGTTAGCTGAATGGTGCAAAGTATGGATCATGGCTGCCTTGTTCTTGGAAATTATCAATCAATGATGGCTGCCATTTAAAGGTTAATTAGATCATAAAATATAATAATGGAAAACATCTGTTGAAGAGATACAAGCCTTGCATCTTGGGGCATGATATTATCATTACACAGGATATAGTTAGATGATGTGTTCAATAAAAATGCTGACCCCACTAACAAAAAGTAAACAAAATATATAAAAAGAAGTTTGAAGATATATCAACTGAATTCTAAGCAATCAATCTGTCTAAGCTTCTATAATTTTGTAACAAATTGTTGCTCAGTTATTTTACTACATTTGCAGACTAGCCAAGTTGCAATATTTTTCTCTGATCTATGTAACTGCTGAAACATGATTTTGAGATTTTAATACCTTATAAAGACATGGTTAATTGCATATACTAATATTTGTTTATTGCAACATAGATCATTATCACTTGGTTATAAAAGTTCTTTTACTATACAATACAAAAAGATATACAATAGCTCTACACAATGCTTTTTCTATTTTTGGTACTTATTGTAGGTGGATGAGAGAAATTTCTTTATAACCTTTGTATTGTTAGAAAAGGTTATGATTCATTGCTGTTGGCATATGTTTTTGACCAGTGTTTGATATAAAAATGAATTGGCAACACCCAAGCTATTCCCCAAGGTACCTACCATTAGTTAAAAACATATTAATCAACTTCTTAACAGACTTGAAAAGAACCTTTATCACTATCATTCCTTTATTTTCTTGTACTTGACTGGAATTGTTTTCTAATACTCTGAAAACATGTTATAGGTAGCATCATGAATATATAATAATGATAATAATATCACCTGCCATGGATTTTATACTGTTAATCAGTTTGTCTATGCCTTGAAACTTCTTTGGATGTGATGGTTGTTTTCTAAGTGTAGATTAAGTGTGGGGCACCCAGTGAGGATCGAACTCACTACTTGGTTGTAATTGATTTAGGGAGACAAGTTCACTAGCCATGTCAAAGTGCCCAATGATTTTCTAAGCATAGCTTAGATATAGCATAAGGTCAAAAAGTGTAGAGCACCCAGTGAAAATTGAATTCACTACTCAGTTGTAATTGATCTAGCAAGACAAGCTCGCTAACCATTACAACACATTGAAGTGTCCTTTTTCTAAGCATAGCTTAGATGTGGCACAAGGCCAAAAGTATGAGGTACCCATTGAGGATTGAACTCACTACTCAGTCGTAATTGTTCTTGTGAGACAAGTTTGCTAACCATCACACCACGCTGAGGTGTCCCTTTCTTTGGATGTGATGTGTAACGAAAGTATTTAGATTGTGCGTCATTGATTTCTTCTTGTTCAACTGAGAGAACTGAGACTCACATTGTTGGAAAATGTTAAAATTTCTATTTTGAGTAAAATAGATATCCAGTCACTTTCAATGCTTACACACAATATAAAAAGGAAATTATAAGTCAGGCTCATCACTTAGCAAAAAATGGTGACAGGAGATAGGGATGTGACTGAGTTAGGATTAGAACAAGGAAATGATACCCATTTTCAGATGATAAAGCTTGATTTTACATTCCATTATCTGAACCTTTTTTTTTTCTCTCTCTTTTTCTTTCTAATATCACAGAAACTGGTTGATTAGAATTGTATTATTCAATCACTTAAATAGTGTTATGGGAGTGAGTAATACAATTCTAATAAATTTAATAGCAATAGGGAGGTTCAGATACAAAAGTATTCTAAGGGTCAAAAATCAGTCTCACAAGTCCAACATAATAAAATTCTTGAGACATTCAAAAGGGTCAAAAATTCACATATCAACTCACAACACCCAACTACCTCTTCACCCAAGAAAATTAATACAAAGATTTCAATATTAACATTGATTTTTTAACAATAAGGAGGTTCTACCATAATAAATGAAAATGAAACATTAACCTTTAGCACTCTGCATTATTAATATTACTCCTCTTTCTTTTGCATTCTTTTTCAAGGCCTCTCAATTGCAGTATCCTTACCATTAATTTCACTCAAAGTTATTTTCTGTTACCCTAGCAGGATATGACAGCACACTTTGAAATTAAAACACACTATTATTGAGGGATCAAAGTCACCTTTAGTGGCAGGATAAATTTTTTGTACAGCAAATGAAATTACATACAGAGTGATAAAAGGTTAATATACAATTTTTATGAACCTTTCTTATACTATGATAAAATATTAAATTTTTTAAGGTTAATGTTTCCTACATTCATTGTATTTCTACATTTTGAGTGAAAGTCAAAAAAAAAAAAAGCTTTAAATATTGAAATATTTAGGCAGATTTGCACATTCCTTGTACTTCATTAGTTTATATATATTTTTTATACATAGTTGGCACAAAATAGTCTAAGAATTTTGTTGCTAATTTTACCAGTCACAATTGAACCTGATTCATGTGCTTTAAAAATAGAATAGCCAGTTAAAATTTGTTATTAGTCATTAGAATGAAGCAGCAGTTATAAAAAAAATAGTTAATATAAAAGAATATCTTGGGCTAGGCTAGGACAAATATTTTGTGTTTACTCTCTGGAAAAAAGCATTTAATTTGCTTTTTTTTTGTATCAGTTTTTCAGCCAAATTTGATTTATAATGCATTATTAGCTGTTAGTATTGTGTATATACAAGAGATGCATATGTAGCATATACTTCCCGTCTGTCAAAAAACAAAACAAAAAAGAAATTCAAGAACAGCCGCTTCAAACATCATTTTAATAAAAGCACTAATTAGATTAACCTGCTATAAAC